ACAAAATTGATACTGGATTGGCACACCCAATTAGACAACCGCCACGACGTATGCCAGTAGCTAAGCAACAGGAAGTAGAAAACCAAATTGATGAAATGCTTCAAAAGGGAATCATTGAAAAGTCAAATAGTCCATGGTCTGCGGCAGTAGTTTTGGTTATAAAGAAAGATGGGAGTCTTAGATTTTGTGTGGACTACCGAAAGCTTAATGACGTCACCAAGAAGGACAGCTTCCCTCTCCCAAGAATAGACGATACACTAACAACTCTATCGGGCTCCAAATGGTTTTACCCCTTGGATCTCAAAAGTGGATACTGGCAAGTGGCAATACATGACGATGACAAAGAGAAAACTGCCTTCAGTACCGGAAGCGGGCTATACCAGTTTAATGTAATGCCTTTCAGATTGTGTAATGCTCCAGCTACGTATGAGCGACTGATGCATCTTCTTTTGCGAGGCCTTACATGGAGAACTTGCCTGGTATATTTGGATGATGTCATGATCATGGGAAATTCGTTCCAAGAACATCTCAATAACCTGAAACAAGTTTTTGACCGCTTCCGAAATGCCAACTTGAAACTCAATCCAAATAAGTGTTTCCTATTTCAAAAGAAAGTGGAATTCTTAGGTCACGTGGTATCTGAAGAGGGCATACAAGTTATGGAAGGAAAAATAGATGCTGTCAGGGACTGGCCAAAAACACGCGACAAACATGAACTAAAGAGTTTTCTAGGATTATGTTCTAATTATCGAAGATTTGTGGAAGGATTCGCCAATATAACTGCTCCGCTTCATCGATTAACAGAAGAAAAATTAACATTCAATTGGACCTACGAATGCGATTCCGCATTTAGAAAATTGAAAGGAGCATTATGTATGAGCCCAGTGTTGTCCTATCCTGATCACAAAGGCATGTTGATTTTGGACACAGATGCAAGTAACACCAGTGTTGGAGCTGTCCTTTCACAAATCCAAAATTCACAGGAGCATGTCGTGGAGTACTACAGCAGAACATTATCAAAGCCGGAACGAAATTATTGTGTCACCAGAAGAGAGTTGCTTGCCATAGTAAAAGCAGTCGACCATTTTCATAAGTATCTCTACGGACGCAAGTTTCTAATTCGAACAGATCACGCAGCTCTAAAATGGCTTTTAGAAATGAAAACTCCTGAAGGACAGCTTGCTAGATGGATTGAGAAATTGCAGCAATACGATTTCCAAATTAAACATCGACCTGGAAACCTGCATAAAAATGCTGACGCTGTGTCTAGACGGCCATGTAAAGAAGATTGCAAGCATTGTCAAAGAATCGATATACATGAGAAAAATACTAGTCCAACTGTAAGAAGAACGGGCCTGATCGTCGATGACAAATGGACTACCAAACAAATGAGAGACGATCAGGAGGCAGACCAGGACATCGGGCAAATTCTACATCTTAAAGAAAATGATGAATGTAGGCCAGAATGGGGGGAAGTGTCAAACAAGAGCTTGATTTACAAGGCGTTGTGGGCCCAGTGGAACTCTCTGGCCGTAGAAAATGGTTTGCTCAAAAGAGTTTGGGAAAGTGCCGATGGGAAATCCACTAAGAGCAAACTGGTTATCCCAAAAGACCGAGTGGAAGATGTATTAAAAGAAATACACGACGGAACTTCAGGGGCACATTTCGGCGTTAACAAGACTTTGGATAAAATTCGGGAACGTTTTTCCTGGATTCACTACCATGAAGACGTTAAAAGCTGGTGCCGAAAATGCGACATTTGTGCTACTAGTAAAGGCCCTAAACTAAGATCTCGGGGGCCCATGAAACAGTACAACGTCGGTCTTCCGTTTGAAAAAATAGCGATAGATGTAGCCGGACCGTTCACAGAGTCAGAGCGTGGTAACAAATACATCTTAGTTATTATGGATTACTTCAGTAAATGGCCAGAAGTTTTCGCTTTTCCCAATCAAGAAGCCATCACTGTTGCCCAGGTGCCAGTGGACGAAGTTTTTAGTCGTCATGGTGTGCCACTAGAGTTACATTCAGACCAGGGACGAAACTTCGAATCTGCCATCTTTAAGAAAATTTGTGAGATCATGGGCATTCGTAAGACAAGGACAACACCTTTACATCCACAGTCTGATGGCATGGTAGAACGATTCAATAAGACCATAGAGGAACACCTGACAAAAGTGGTCACCAGGAACCAGCGAGATTGGGACAAGCATTTGCCTCTATTTTTAATGGCTTACAGAGCAGCTGTTCACGAGTCAACAGGTGAAAGTCCAGCCACAATCGTTTTTGGAAGAGAACTCAGGTTACCTTGCGATCTGATGTTTGGGATATCTGAAGAAGAACGAAAAGAAATTCGAGACTATGCCGACGAAGTAAGGGCACGACTTCTGGGTATCCATGATTTTGCTCGGGAGCATATTCAACTAGCCAGTGACCGGATGAAGACCAGATACGACCTGAAAGCCAATTCAGCTGGATTTCAAGAAGGTGATTTGGTGTGGCTGTATAATCCAGCTAGAAAAAAAGGAGTATCGCCGAAATTGTCTTCAGCATGGGAAGGACCCTACAAAATAATCAAGAGGATCAATGATTTGGTGTATCGAGTCCAACGCAACACTAGGAGTAAGATGAAAGTTGTACATCTGGACAGGTTAACGAAATATCATGGGCGTGAAGTTGATCGGGGCGTGAAGTTGATCGGGGCGTGAAGTTGATCGGGACGATCAACCTTAAGAGGAGGGCAATGTGGCGTGGCGTTCGCCAGGCTGTCAAGAATCTCAGTTCGGCTAGCGAATTATTCTACTTTAATCTGGAAAATAAGATTATAGTGTGTATTCTAGATTTTACAGGAATAGATTTAGGGATATATAAGAAGACCGGCATTGGTTTGTAAGTTAAGTTAAAGTTTGACTGTGATACGAGTTAAATAGTGATTATTGCGAGTTGAAGAGTTTAATTGTTGAGTTAGTTATTAAAGTAATTAGTGTCAGAGTGTATTGTTACGTGGAATAAATTATTGCTGTGTTAATTGGACTTTGATTTTGGGAATAAACGAAACGAACAACGAACCCAAGATTTCTGTCAGGCAACCCAAAAGCCGTGACAATATCATATTAAACGGTAGTTTTGCGCAGTAGAAGTACTTATCTTACCTTAGAAACATTCATTTCAAATTAGCGGGATGGCCGCATTATCTTAACATTTTCTAAATCAATCTGTACATCGCAGTACGTGTTTTTGACAGCAGCATCTTTTACCTTCATAACTGGATTCCCAGCTGCATGAGATTGTTTTCAATAAATCTTAAGGTATGACTGGAAAGAAGTAATTCATAATAATTCGACAACACTGATGCCTCGTTTTATAGAAGCCTCAGTCATACCTGAAGATTTATTGAAAACAATCTCATGCAGCTGTGAATTCAGTTGTGAAGGTACCTAAAAGATGCAGGTGTCGAAAACACGGACTATGATGTACAGATTTATGTAGAAAATGTTCAAATAATTGTTTGAACGTTGACAAAATATCGGAAGATTCGAGTGATACGGAAGACATCGAGCTGCCAAGTATCTTTACTTAAAGTCATGAAACGAATTACAAAAGGAATATATTGATAGTGATTGTGAAGATAAGGAATCGTTCGAAGATCTGGAAGAAAGCCATTATAATCCAACATCGGACGATGAAGATAATTTGCAGAAAAGACCAAGATTGGTCTAGTATTATTTATTTTTTCTTTTTCTTTCTAAATCCTATTAAGTATTCAAATCGATTCTACGGCATAAAAAAAATTTAAAAATATTATTTCTTACCTTTTTACTGTAGCTTCATTATTCGACTTAGATGTTAATAGCAATTCTGTACAAAAATAAAGCCACTGATCAAACAATGAAACAAAGTTTCTCTCGTATTTTTTCCCATACAATTGAATAGCGTAATCAGCTTTTCGAGATTTGTTAAAATTCAAACAAATTATCACTAATTACTCATAAATTCATTGTTGCAAATGTCATTTTTTGTATTTTTTCCATTTTTGAGTCTGTTGTTGAATTGCGACAGCTACTTTTTTTTACTGCACTGAAAAGTATATGTCAAAACGAATAAAATGAGCACAAGCAGAACTCTGTACGACGATTTTTCACCGTAGAATTTTTTTTTGAAAAAAAATTGTTTTTGACAGAAAAAAATTAATATCTCGGAAGCTTTTCAATTTTTTTATTTAAAAAAAAATTTGGTTAATTTAGACATATAGAGCTATACTTTCACCAAGTTTCGTCACAATTGAATTATTTTGTTCGAAATGAAAAAGAAAAATCGAAAATTAAAAAAATATATGGTTTTTTGTATTTTTCTCGGTAGTTTTGAGGTTATGTTGAAAGTGACCTATACAAAAGTTGTAGATATTTACATGATCTATAACTCTTGTATTGATGTGTAATTTCGCCGGAAATCGTAATAATACAATTTTCCATTCCTTTTCAACCCCCCAAAGCAACCCTCCACTTACCCCCGTGTGAATTTTTTTTTTTTTTACGTTTATTGTAAGCCTCTTGACCATTTCCAACTATAAAAGTCTAGGTAACAATTTTTTTATCCCCTATCTAAACGAGTTATTTCGATTGGTCTATATGTAGAGACCAGTTCATCCATCCAAATCACCAATGAAAGTTGCGTCACAGATTCCTGAAGAATCAACATATTTTTGATCATTATTTGACACAACAAACGAATAGTGGTACCTAATTCAAAATGAATGAAACAAGTCAAATTTCCGTCGTGGTGACGAAGCTTCCCATTAAATTTGAAATTAATCGCAGCTGAAGATGCAGAATATCAGAAGCAGATTAGTTGAATAAGGCTCCGTTTATTTGGAAGCCTAAAAATACTATTCGAACATAATTTTTAAATTTAATTATATCATTTAAATCATCAAGCCAAAGATGCAAATCCTTTCCAGATAATGGAATGTTTAGTCTACATAGGAAGGTAATATGTTTTCTTACTTCATCTTGCAGCATTCTTAATAAGACGTGAATAAAAGAGTCGAATGAAAGCTTTTGGTTTTTGGATGGCTCTCCCTCTATGGCTGACATCCCTATATCAATTTCTTCCTCGTTATCGAGCCAGTCAACACCATGAATCATAAGCAAGTCACATGTTAGGGAAACTGAATTCATCACGACTTTTTTGTTATAGAGTTTCATCGATTTGTATTTGTTAATCTAGAAAAGGTTTTAATTTAAGATTTTTTATTTGAAAGAGAAATTATCATTATTTGTAAAGTGTTTTGATCCGCAGCTCATGGCAAGTTTCAACTTAAAATAAGAAGATTGGAGAATCTTTTAGCACTCATAACATTTACATAATTCACATTACAAATTTACTTACGTGAATTTTGAATGTGCCCAAATGATGGTAAAGTTTCGCTGTTTCTTGATCGTATATGCAGTAGATTCCCATACATTTTAGGGCTCTAGTGAGAATCTCTGCACGTTTATCCCAAATCAAAGGCAATAAAAAATCGTCCCTGAAAATAGAAATAAATGTATGGCTACCCAAAATATATTCAAATTAAATTCTACTTGAACATATTCAGCGAGGAAGGTAAATGTTCATGATTGGCATAAACCATCAATAGGGCACACAACAAATCCAAACACCAACATAGCTTTGCCGGATCTTCTGTAGGTTTCCTTATCATTTCTAAAGGCGGACCCTCCTTTGACAAGTTCTCCAATTTTGCTCTATATTCATTGAGCTCCATTTCAACTTTTCGCGACATCTCATAGTTTGCTGAGGCAATTGCATAGCTTAGCTCATTCTCTAATCGAGTTAACTTCACTTTTAATTGTGCGCGCTAAAACCGAATATGTTATAATGAATTCACATTATTAATGCCCACAAGATGGAGGTAAGCCGAGACTACTTCAACCCACCTTAAACTCATATTCTCTAAAATATCCAGTTTGATTAGGATTTTCTTCAAAAGGTTGCCATATATCGAAAATAATGTTATACACCTCATTTGTAAACAACTCTAATTTTGGAGCTAGCTTACTTCCGATCTGAATCAATTTGTTGAGTAACTTATGATGCCATTGGTGGTCTCTTAAACATTTTCTTATTAATCCATCCAAAGCTTTTCTGCCAACCTAAAGTTATTGATTTGAATAAATAGATAATTTTTGAAATAATGATATCACAACTTATTCACCTCTTCAGAAAGATCATAGCTTTCAGCGATGTCAAATAAATGGCACAACATATGCTGGAAATTTAAATTTTCCTCAAAACTCTCCTGTAGCTTTCTAGGGAACATTTCATCGATTATCCTAAAAAAACAAATTCAATTCTGAGGTTTTATATGAAATTTGCATCAATCTCCGCGAATAATTTGTTTATACTGTAGCAAAACGCCCCAAGTACTCTACCTATGTAATTGGTTAGATGGTAAATGGCGAGCGGTATATTGATGGTATTTATTTCCTTGGAGCTGCTACCTATAAAATTGTGGAGGGGTCTATTCGCAAAAGAGAGAAACAAACTATTGAGGTTTACTAAATTATATTTTATTAAACATAAAACCAAAAATTTAAATAAGCAAAATATCTTTCAATTCTGACAGCCACTTCTAATTTTTCCAATTCAAATTATTTCACATCCGTTCAAATGTCATTATTACGGACCAGGAAAATATCCATAAAAGAAAAACGCCCTACTCCTACTATTCTCAATAACTTATACGTTTATACATTTCAACACTTCCGATTCATTCCTATTAAACTACCCTTCACCTATATCTAGATATTCTTTAAAAAATTCCCAAGTCCTTTATTGACTGCTTATGCAAAATCAAAATAATTGTTTGTTTATTAATATAGGTTATACTAACTTATTCATAAAAAAAAAAACCTTACAATAATTTCTACATGAAAATAAAAACCCTAATTCAAAATTTCGGCACTTAAGATCATCAAAGTTTCTTCATGAACAACAAATTTCAAATAGATCTTTCCAATACGTCTAATGATTATCGTCAGCAATTTTATTTCATGAAGAACAACAAGTTTCTTTTCGAAACTTCCATTTTATTTAATGGTTTATTTAATCAGAAAAATTTCTATTTCCGGATTCCTAGCCAACAAATACAATTATTTATTTATTTATTTTAGTCTTATTAGTTCGTTACTATAGCCCTTAAACTTCAATTGGACAATCCAATTCAAAATTATTTAATAATTCCTACTCAAAATATCGATACTTGTTAAGTGCATTATAAATTCCCTTTTTAATTCTTTGCAAAATTAATTAAAATTTCATTATACTCAAGGGCAATTAAAGTTATGCCATAATGTTCCATAGTCAAAACACTCGAATTATTAATATTTATGCAATAAAGTTCCAAAGTTAATTTACTTCATAGTCATTCAACATTTATAACTAGAGTACCTACATTTAAATTATCACTCGATAAAATAACTTAATTACATCAGAAATCTCTAGAACACGCACATAGTATTGAACGAATTTAACTGTTCTTTCTTTTACAATTTTCCGTTACTATTTCAAAGACTTTTTCCGAGGCAATACAAGAAACTTTCGCGAATTTTTACCAGGACTGACACATTAAGGCCGCGTTAATGGCCGCCATGTTTAAACTGTGATTGGTTGATTTTTCGAAACTTGTTTTAAGGTCTTTAAAAAAACGGCACATCAGAATTGGCTCAAATTTGGCATAAACATTATTTGATCGATTATCTACAATTGACGTGTCTCGTAGAAATAGAAAAAGAGAGCTTAATTGTAATAAATTCAAGTTAGAAAGTAATAAAAAATGACATGCGCGCGCAACTCGTGGCTGCAGTGTAGCCAGATTGTATTGTTGCAGAACAAATGTAGACAATACAAATCGAACATTATAACATTAAAGAAGTGATATATTGTCAAGTGTTCTACAACGCCTTAAATCAGACAAAAGAAGAGCTTTAAAGTGTATGTTAACATCGATGGCACTTTTATTTTGATAAATGTTTCATCCGGCAATATTGCACAATGAAAATATGTCAAGTATATTTTAACATAACCTTAAACGACACTGGGATAAGTCCAAGTAATACGTAAAGTATTAGTTTGCTCTTTGTCGAATTACACGTTACAAAGAAAGAAGAAACGATTAATTCTTAACTCGTCCCTGAATACGAAAATGACGCAAGCCCGTAACAAACTCGATTTTCATTGGACGCTCACCTGCAACCCACGAGTTGCGCGCGCACATCAGGTATTACGAGACACGTCAATTCCTTATTTTGGTTTTTCGATATTCAGCCGTTTTTTTTTTAAATTCAAAAATCATGTTCGCAACCACAAAAATAATTAAATGTGTTGGTGGTTGCATATTTGCATGTTTATCAAGCTTGGATCCGTGAAAAGCATATTTTATTGATAACCACGAAAAACTAAAAAAGGTAATTGCAGAGATTGTAGATAATATATCAAATAATGTTTATGCCAAAGGATTTTGGAAATTATTGCGGATTTTTTGAGATGACCTTAAAACGGATTTTGAAGGTGAAAACAGTTCAAGCAATTTCAAGTAGATGGCGCCACGGCAAAAAAGCTACATTGGGAGCATCATAATTGTATATTTGTCTTTCTCTGTCACTAAGTGTTTCACCGACAAACAGATTTTCTTTTGGACAAAAAATAAAATATTGAACGATATGTGTAGAGTGACGCAGTCGTCATTTTCGAAAACTAAATTTGAACATGGCGGCCATTAACGCGGCCTTAAGTACTGTAGACTTTAACTGAACTGAACTAACAACTCAACTAACAACTGACTTCCACTTCTAAAACCGCCTGTTTTATATTTTTCGATTCCCCCCCAAAGTATTATTAATTATCCACCAAAATCGTCAATAGGCGGTCGTTCGACTATCAATGAGTCAATTCTATTGGCCGACCTAGATATTATCAAAAAATAATGATGCAATGTATTTGAAATTTTTGTCATTTTTATTTGTTTAAAATCGAATAATTATGTTGCAATATCCTGATTTATAGAGGTCAACAAATTTTGGTTCAAGAATGCCATAAATCATCAATTTAATAACTATGGCCTCGCAGTTAATTATTTTTAGGAATTTTTGATGATGACACAGGCTGGGTGACGAAATAATATAATTTCGAATGTATTTGGGGTCAACGTTAATTTGTTCCCTTCTCAATTTATTGATACTGATTTGAAACACAGGAAATTCAGTTTTTGATTATTTGATTACATTTATTTTTTTCAAAAAAGACATGTGGTTCGGTCGGTTATAACCTAAATTTCCCAGTTATAACACCAGCTAGCTCAAAAATATAATGATAAAGAAAGTAGTACTTACTAAACATGGGTCTCTTGGACCTAGGCATTGTTCTCAGCAGAAGGAATCAATAAAAGTCAGGTTCAAAACAAAGGACAATATTTAATTACTAAACCTATGTAGCTTTGGGCAATAGATAACAGGTAACAGTTGAAATGTAAATAAATGTATAACAATAATAATCGACATCAAAATATTACACTAAATAATAAAGTCGTGTTCACATAAGGTCATCATATTGATTACATAAGGGCAATTAATCAATTACGCTAGACATTTAAACTTTAATTATAAATATGCAAAAACACCCCCTAAAATACCATGGTATACCAGGCGCAAGACGATTATATTTATAGCATGACAATGCCAAGAAAATATGTAACTAGATATATAATAAAACACTCTACCTTAGTAACATTCAACTCTTGAGCATCATTCTAATTATTATGTAAGAAATAAAATAGAGCAGTTATACATTACTCAATCCTGCTGGTAAAATGAAATCAGCAACCAGCCTGGAAAGGATGAGAAACGTCCAGAAGCTACATCAGCTGCTACTGTTACCCATTAGCTACGTGCATTGTGCACCAAACACTAGACTTGATTTAGACATCAACATCAAACACCGGAACAAGACACCAACCAAAAACAACGCCCTAGAAAAGGTATTCAGCCTTAGTTCCAGAACTATATTAAATTATAACTAGCTTTGACAGCACAAAGACTAGCACTAGACGGCCTCGACAAGCCGGGTCTACGAAGTCTGCACATTTAGAATGAACTTAACGTCACACAAATGGCGCTTTCATAATAGCCCATCATCTAGATTTTACTAAGCAAAACCCTATATTTTATTCCCTCCCTAATATATAAAAATAGATAAAAACATACCTTCCAACAATCACATTCCTACAACGCCTAAGGACATCATTTCCTCATCCGGCAACACCGTAATTGTCGAAAGGGCATATCTCCCTAATATCACCATCAAGGCACACGTATAAGACGGCGGAAAGGCAGGACAAAAATGGACATATAAGCCCTTGGGACCAACTCTCTATAAGTGACCAGAAACTAGGTAATAGTATGGAAATGTGTAGCCAAGAACCATGTGGTTCTTGGGCAGCAAAAGTAAGATAAATTACCAGTCACGTGGTCAAAAATCCCTTACAAAAAGGTTTGTGGAAATCCAAAATTACACGTGCCTCCAGCACAACTTGCGGTTTATCCAGTAAACCAAAGAAACGGATTCCACGCCAAAGCTGTAGCCAAAATCCCTTATGTACAAAGGCGAATCCTAGGACTCAAGCAGGCTTAGCAACTAAAACGACCATTCAGGCTGAAAGTTGGGGTAGAAAAGACCGAAGGAAGAACTTGAAAGGTTCAATTTCCCCCCTAATGACAAAACTGCAATGTCATGGTCAGAACCAGGGACGACTCGTCTCTCTGGGTCTGTTGCCAAAACTCAAAATAATTTCCATACAGTCCCAAAACACAATAGAACTCTTTAAAATCTCAACTAGTTGTTAATTTCCTCAGCTAAATTATAATTTACACAGAAAATTTCAATTCATGAACAAAACGAAGAAAACTTGATGTTGCTACAGACAGCAACACAGTAACAATTCTGTGAACTACGCCAATGACTTTGATTTATCGGTGAAACCTTGACCCATTTACTCCAAGCACCTGTGCGAAATCCCAAGACCGCTAAATAATAAAAACCGAAGTGTTCGGAGCACACAGCTGTTCAAGATCAAGTTCAAGTGTCAAAATAATAAATCATAACCCAATAATTAACGGATGGTGAACAAAGCACTGGGCCCCAATTTTTAATAAAGGTAAGTATTGAAATTGAATTCTATTTCATCTTAAGTCATCCTTTTACATTTCAGACGCAGTCCCACAAGGAATATTTCCCCAACAAAACAAGAATACAGGAAAACAGAAGCCCCCTGCCAACC